AAAATCTGTTTGGAGGGTTTCTTTAAAGACTAATGCCACTTACAAAGAGACACTTTGGCTAATGTCTGGGACATTCTTGGATGACGATACAAGCAGACCATACAGAATGTGCATGTTGGTCACTGCCTTAGGATTACAGCCCTGGTGGTCCAGACACTGCCCAAAGGGTCTTTAAAAGATGAAGAGTCTTGCCTGTCATCTGCCAGCCAGCATCTGCAGGGACATCTGAGCTGGTCGCACTGCTCTAACAGCTGCGTGGGCACTGAAGTGATAATTTGCTGCCACTAAACCGCAGGAAAAACAGTCAGTCACTTACCTGCCAGTAAAGTTGACAGAGAGGGTGTCAGACTACCATAACCAGTCACCTAGGGACCAGACAAGAACCGATCTGGTAGCACCAGATATTTTTTTTTCCTGAGCTCAATTTCTATTTAAGTTTTAATAACAATTTGATTTGATGGACTGTGGTGCAACAAAGGAATTGAGCTCACTAACATCTTCCTGGGTTTGCTTTTATACATACGTGCTGTCTGTACAAGCTGATGGAGTTCCTTCCCTCACGATAGGCCCAACATGTCTAGAGCACACACCCATTCACTTCAGCCCGCACGGGTCTGGCCAACCCTTGCCAGATTGACCTCTTCAGTTTCTGCACATGGGAGGAAGCGTGTGCTCTTGCCGTTCTGTGTCTGGTTTGTCTCAGTTTAACGGCCTCTATTTCTATTCATTTTGTGGCAAATGACAGGATCTTGCTGTTCTTCATGGGTGACCAATACTCCCGTTGTCTCTTGGTGGATGGTAGGTAACTTGTATCTTAGATATTGTGAATCGTTCTACTTCAGTGCCTTTCAATACATACTCTGGAGTGATCAGGAGATCATAAGGGAAATATATTGTTAGCTTTTTTATTTTAAAGAGAAAGATTCACAATAAAACTGCTGTGCTGTCTTCCCTGCCTCATTCAAAGGGCTCATTTTGCTCTAAGCTCTTAGGATATGGGTCCTGCCTCCCTTCTACCAAGTAGCATTCATCTTAAGCTGTTTAGAAAAAAGGGTATAACGTGGTTTCCATGAAAGTAAACCATTCCCAGGCATGAAGCCCCTTGTAAAGAAAAATGCCTGACTTTATATAGTTAAAAAGACTAATGACGTTAGAGTCTAAATACAAGAAAATTTTCATTATAAGAGCAATATACCCAGAACTAGGAAGGCTGAGGCAGGAGGATTGCAAATTTAAGGCTAACTTGGACTACACAGTGAGACTCTGTCAAGATAAAAAAGAACAAAGAATGCGAGGGAGAGAGGGAGAGAGAAAAGGGGAAAGAGAAAGATAGAAATGGTTTTGCAGAGCCAAGATGCCGACCAGTGTCAGGCTTGAGAAGGGCCTGAGAGTTTGCTCTCCCATAAGCTCTTGAGTTAACCTGCCACTGTGTATGGATGTTTACAGAAGACTAATGAAGCTCTTCAAGAAGGGCAATTTATCACTCTCAGTAATTAGCGGCAGCACGTGCTTGTGTGTGTATGCATGCGGTGATTTTTAGAGTCAAGTTTTTGGAAGTCCTGGCTTCTCTAAACACTACACGTGCTGAGTTATCGTCCTGGATGAAGTTCGCTGAATTTAGGAAATCCAAACCATTTATAACAGGCAGCAGGCACTCACTTTGCTCTCAAGGGTGGCACCCCAAACTCCCAAGGCTGTTTGCTACACTCCAAAGGTTCTTGAAGAGGGAGCTCAGAACAAAGGTCATCTCTGATCAGTCAAGAGGAACCCCTGCAGAACCGTCTCGCACTGTCTGTAGCAGGGAATTCCAAACATGTATATAAATGGGATCAGGCCTTTGCAGCAACCGTGTTGAAAGCAAACCAATCTTTCCTGCTTGCAAGGACCATCCACTTGTAGAATCTGCCAGAAGAAGGTGAAGGCGAAGAAGGCTGACCAACCAACTTCACTTACTTCCTCCCCCCTGAGTCTGAGCATGGAGAAAGCATGTACCAGAAACAAAGTTGAGCCGGTACCAGAACGCAGGTTATGAGAGGGCCTTGTCTATAGCTGTTTTAACCTGAGTGTCCTATTGAGACATCAGGTGCGGTACTGTGTGGTGCAGTGCGGTGATGTGAGAACGGAGTCAAGGGAGATGGGAAGGAATCAGGTCCTACAAAGCAATTCATCCTCAGGCAAAAATGCACCAGAATCAAGGCAGAACCCGTGAGGATCTCTCCATGGTTCTTCATGGAGAAGCGTTCATTCAGTATGCTCCTGAGGTTGGTGGAAGGGCGCTCACAGAGCCTGGGCAGCTGGGTCTCTGAGGCTGAGAAGATGCTCTCCCATTCACAGGCAATTTATAAACACATGAGAGATTATATTCCAAATCACCAAGGAAATGGAGCTAGTTTTTAACAATAACCCCTACAGGCTTGTTTAGCATAAGAAGAATTCAAGTAAAAAAATACACTTGTGTCCAATATGGAAATGACTTCCAGAAAGTTCCAACTGTCAAGTGTACTTGTTTTTAGAAAGACCACAAAAGAGAGCTCCGCTACCCACAGCATTTTCTTCTGCATCCTCCTGCACTTGACAGCACCGTTGAAGGGGCATGAGCCTTGCACACAAAGGTGAGAGTCAGTCTTCCTTTCAGAGAGAGGGAGGGAGGGAAGCACCCCCAAAATGGATGGATTCCAGGCAAGATACCAAAAGGGACTCCCAATGATAATGGACCCATATGAAATTCAGCGCTACCAGTATATGACCCACAGCCCTGGGGCCTACTTTTCTCTTGCTAAACTGGAGTCACATGGATGGTGGTTCATGTTCCCAGCCACTGTGCTTTCTTCGAAAGATCTGGATACAACCATACTCTCTGCTACTGTTGCTAAGCTCATTTTCAGTCTTTCAAGGAGACTCCAGGAGGTAAGTAAAAATCCAGTATCTTATGCATTCCAAACACCTTCCCCCGAGCTGGGTTATCTTGCCTTCCCAGCAAATGGATATGTGGCTACCCCATGCTCAGCTAATAGGCCAAGTCCAGGGGCATTATATTGGGTCAAGGGGTGAGGGAAGGCGTATAAGAGTTGTGAAACAGAGAGGTAAAACCAGGGTCGGGATGCTGAGCAGGGAGCCTCCTGTCTCCAGGTATGAGGAGGAGCTCAAGTGGCTAAAACCCACCCATCATCAAAGCCTGCTTCCCTCACCACAGCTCAGAGATCTGAAGCAACTCAACTGTAGTTCTTCAATTTCACTCCTAGGCATGGTACTGACGGTGAAGCCCCACAAGGGCCAGGAAGTCCAGTGGTCATGAGCCATGGGGAATATTGGGGTTAAACTGGCTCCTGTTTGAGTCTGAGGTCTAAGGTCTAATTACCACCTTCGGGAGGCTGTCAACTCTCCTGAGTTTATCTTCTCAGATGTACAATGACGATGATACAGCCTGCTTCATGAGCTTTAAAGCCGGAATTAAATAAAGGTACAAAGGGGCTTCGCCCAGAGTGAATGCTTGTAAGTGGAAGTATACCATCAAGTTTAATTTGTATGTCCCAGGGTTAAGCGGAACCGGGCATTGACGTCATCCTGCAGTGACGAGCGCCTGTGTGGTAAAGAACCAGTGTGTCCATGGGCCATCTGCCTCCTGCAGCTATTGCATCAATGAAGGAGACTGACCTCGAGTCAACATATCTTATAAGACACTAGTGGGGCTCAATGCGGGGATCTGGAAAAACAAGTCCTGTGGACTTAGGGGATGAACGTAATGGGTCCCAGCTGACTGAGGCCTATGTTATTTTAAAGCTCAAGTGATTCCAACAAACACTCAGACCCCAGAACCACCACCCTAGCTGGGGAGGAAGGCGTCTTCTAGAAGACGCTTTAACATTCACTGACTTCTTTGATAAGCCAGGCATAGGACTGGATGCTGAGTTACAGGCCATTCCCCAGAATGGCAATCCCAAGGCCTGATCTGAGGGATTCACATGAGGGCAAGCCGGTAGAACATTGTTGGTACACGCTGTGACGGGGTACATACAGAGCTGTGGAGGACACCTTGGAGGACGGGGGAATCTGTTCCAGCCCTCTCAACAGAGCCAGCTGGTGAAGAGGGTGTTCTAGGCCGAGGTGAAATATTTTACCCTTGGTGAGAAAATTACATGGGGCATTCAAGAAACCACAAGGGTTCAGTGATATCCAACAGGACCAAAAATTGAAGCAAGGAGGCAAGGGCCATGTTCCTCTGAAAGTGTGACAAGGGGTTAGTTTTGTTAGACAAAGGTGATTGAATCATTCCAATTACTAGGTAGAAATAGCAGAACGAGATAAGACTGGACATGGAAAAGCCAGTTCTAAGATAGCTGGGCAATCTAAGGATGTTCGGCATGGACAGGCTTAAAAGGTATCAGTTAAGCTTGGTGACTGGGTGTTTTGGAGAGGGAGAGGAACCAAATATGTAGCCTAGCATCTAGCAGGATCACCCAGGAAGTCTGAGGATGCCATCGAGCAAGGGAGAGAAGCAAGGACAGAGCATGCACAAGTGGGATGAGAGACCTCAGGTGGAAATGGGACTCCTGCTTCACCTGCTGAACATGACGCCGGCTGGTCAAGCCTGATAGAAACCCTGCACATATCACATATTCCTGACTCTTACTGTGCATGGCATTCTATTAACAACTGGAATGCTTTCTTAATTTCAAATCCCTACAGGTTTGTCTCAGATGGGAAAAGGGGGCGCAGCTTGGGAGAACCCAGGAATAGGAGCCCGCAGGACAGAGTACACATTGCTGGTCTTGTTTCTTTCCCAGTCCAAGAACATGGTGGGTCCTCTGCTGAAGACACAAGAAAAATGTCATGATTAAATGCTGGCACATTCTTGGAAAATGAGGGGCTAGCCGTCTGAGTGCTCGGCATCTTCATCTGCAGAGAATGCAGCAAAGTGAACACAGCCTTGCATAGTCTGCAATCATATGCACAAAGTGAACACAGCCTTGCATAGTCTACAATCATACACACAGACAAGCTTGTAAGCAGCTCCCTTTATTTGAGTAAATAGCTTGTAAATAAATCATTGGTAAACATTACAAAATTAAATACATTTCCAAAAGCTTGCCAGTATACAGAAAATTCACAAACATAGTTCTTTTAAAAAATAAAATATGTTCAAAGCACCCTTGATATAAAATGCCTGGTCCCTGTCTTCAGACAGGGCCACCTGGAGACTTCTTACAGCAGGCAGGGTTTCCAGGGGGAGGCAGTAGGGGCTTCCTGGAAGGAAGGAAGGGTTTCTACTCACTTTTCACCCCGCCTACATCCCATATGAATTTTAATTCTTCTCTAAAGAGCTGGTATGTAACTGAAGGATAAGGGTAGGCACTCAGGCCTAACTCCCAACATGGAAATCAAAGTCACAATTAGGACCATGAACCACTGAGAGAAACCAGAGATGAAGCCATGCTTCTAAACCAACAAGCATCTTCCGGGGTCTTCTCATCGCTACATTTTCTCAATATTCAGTTTACACTTCCGGACTAATGGTTTCCAAGCACAGAAGGGGCCAGAATCTACTTCTAAGGAGGAAGAGATTCAATCTGTTGGCTTCCCTTTGGCCGGCTTTCACTGACAGAGATAATACACAGTATTGCATTGAAAGTAGAGAGCCCATTGCTACATGGGGCTTCCTTTCTCCATTGCAAAACTCTCTTCAGGAACTGTGGGCATTTCTTTAGAAATCCGGTTGGTTCTTGAAATTAAAAGTTCATAAAACTTCAAAAGACCACAATGAGGCAATAAGGACTTGACCTGGCGAAGCATCTCAACCAATGAAAAAAAAAATGAAAGTCCATATAGTAAGCCCTTGACCAACTCAACATGTGTGTCATATGGCTCATTATAATAATGAACACACCTAATTCTTCCACTTTGGCGCAGAAAGTGGATGCCGAAGGTAGACCACACTTGTATGAAGAATGCCTGGAGGCATCTGGAAAACACACAGCCTGTGACCTCTTCTATCAGGACAGGCACAGGTTTATTCCATCAACGTGAGATAGAGGTCACATTCTATTTTTGACTTAGAGTTTGTAGATATATATATACAACCATGAGACATTTTTGACATCTCAGTCAAATGTATAACTTAAGAATGTCTCATCAAACTGACCACAAGAAAACTGTCTTCCCTGTAGAGTGAGATCCTAATTACCGCTGAGTCCTTAACAGAAAACACTGCCTGGCTCCGCCCATCCTTACAGATACATCTGTTTTTACAGTCCTTGTTCGGGCTGCAGTCCAAGTTGTAATAGCTTTGCCATTAAAATATTACAGTAACAAAAACCCTTTAAAGTAACAAAAAAGGAACACTTTTGAATAAATGTCTAACCCTCCCCATCCACACACATACACACCAAAAAAATGTTGTTTGTAAAAGACAACTATGGTTATTTAATAAAAGTCGTTGTGAAGTCCAAATCCCAGGTCGCTTTCTTCGTCTCCGAGAGAAGTCTACCCTGTTCCAAAATTATACATTCTTCTTCTGCGGAGGGCTCAGCTTCCTCATGCCTCTTATCCGGGAGAGCAGCTCCCTGATGAATTCCTAAAAGACATCAAGGAAGTTAATATAAGAGGCCACATTATTAAAACCTGTGCTTGTGACTGTGCCTAGTGTCACTGATGTCAATTGCAGTGAGTGAATCTGCTTGGAGGTTGAAACTCCGATGTGAAATAGCAAAGGAAGTTTTAGGAAGCTACAAGGTGCGCAAATTTCACAGCCCAAGGCCTTCTCCTTGCTCTGCTCTCTGTAGGGAAAGTCAGGTGCTGTCACTGACAGACATCACCCATGTGGATTCTACGTGTGACTTCTGAACTCAGTCCAACAATGTGTGGGAATATACCTAGACATCTTGTGATCTGAACTGTGTAGGGCCAGGTTAGAGCCTAAGATTCTGTCATTTCCAACTAAATTGCAGATGGCCCTAGACTGTACCTGGGTCAGCAAAGCTGGGCCATTGGTTCTCACAGTCGATTATCAGATCTACCCAGGGGACTTAGTCACAGCTGCTGGGCCCACCTTGGTGCATCTGGCTCAGTACATGACAGAAAGTGAAAAGGTATCTTTTGGCAAGCTCCCAAGTGAGACCGATGCTACTGAAAATCAGTCTCTCCAACTGCTTAAACTGTAGACAGTGACCTCATGTGGGTGAGGTCATGCAACCAAGTCTGGCAGCCATGAAACATTTGTCAACAGTGCAAGGTTTTGGTGCACACGAGGCCTGGGATGACGGCAGAATCACTTGTATTAAAGCCCAAGGCATCCCTAGTGGCACCTGCTGCAATGTTGTGTTTTTGCTGTGCACCCAAAGTGTTCTGATGTGATAGAAACATAATGCTTTAATTTTAGAAAAAAGACTTTTATTAATTTCTACTGTCTATTATAGAAATGTCAAATTATTATATCCTTGTACTGTGTCATCTTGAAAGTTTTGATTTCTAAAAAACTGCTGATTGAGTTGCTTACTTTATATATATGTGCCCGCACACACACATACACACACACACGTATATATAATTATTTAGTACATTTTGGCTTAAGATTGGGACAGAATTTCCAACAATTTTGAAATGGCCCTAAATGTACTTCCATCACTTTATGCTAAGTATTTCTGTGAAGTGTCTGGTTCTCTGTACTGTTTAGATCAGTAGTTCTCAACCTGTGGGCCATGATCCTTTTGGGGATTGAATGACCTTTCACAGGGGCCATCAGAAAACACAGATTATTTACATTATGATTCATGTAAGTAGCAAAGCTATCATACAAACAGACAAACAAATAAAATCACATTTTGTGTTACAGATCTACACACACCTACATTGAAACTCGCAGAATAAATCCCTGCTGTGCACGTGCTTCTGTTTTCTAGTCTCATCAAATTTATTCACAAAGAAATGCTGGGGAGACCCACTGAAGTGGGTTCCTGATCTGCACTGCATGACTGATTTGTGCAGAGTTGGGGTGAAATCCAGGGCTTCGAGCAAGTTAGGCAAGCTTCCCAGAGATGGAGTCATATCCCTAGTCCTTGTGATTGCCTGGAGACCAAAAACCAAAGACTGAGCACTGACCTACAATAACTCTCTTGTACCATTAAGAAACTGTCATTTTTGCCTTGTATTTTTAAATGCTCATCTGCTATCAAAGTTGCATGTATTAAGAAATGACTGCATCTTTTTCCTATTTTGTATTTGTAAAGACAAAGCTGGTAGCCAGTTGGACTTTCTGGCTGGTGAAAAATAATAAAATTATATGTCATACCAGGGCCAACCGAGAGTAGACACGGATAAACTGATCTTGTGAAAGTATCATGGCTTAACTATGTGGAGACCTTTCAAAAACTAACTCTGGCGGTCTCCTCCTGCCAGCTACACCTGCAGTCATTAAGACCCAGGCTCTGCCAGTCCTGCACTGTTCTCTGACCCCTCCCAGCCCATAATAAGCTGTAGCATGTGATACTTTGCCTACCACCACCACAATTTGATTCTTAATAGTCTTTGCTAGTATAAAACTAATATGTGTTTCGCTTAAATATTTGGGACATACAAACCAGGAGTGGTATACTCTGAATTAATCGCGCTTAACAGATTTGCTGCCGTAAACCTTGATTTTAGCTACTTAGATCACACTGTGATCCTTGTTGTCTACTTGACATCATGCCAAGCTTTTCCCCACTTACAAGAAAGTATTCCTAAAAGCAAATGCTCCCGGCTACACAGTCCTTTTATAGGCAGCATCAATACTAAACTTCTCAGTACTAGATTCTTGGACTCTTCTGGCATATTCCAAATTATAAACAATGGTATAAGTGAAATCTATGCGCTTCAATAACTGTCCTCAGTCCAGATAATACCTGTTGGAGACAGGTCCCACAAGCTGGTCAGAGGACAGCAGAGGAGCGAGATGAAAGCCCCATTTTGTTTTTCAGCACACCTATCTAATTTAAAGAATGCTCACGATTGAAATAACACCATTTTCCCCATTTATATCTAACTTGCATTTTGCAAAGCTAAGTTTCTCATTGTTCACAGCCCATAGCATCTGGCACATTCACTTTTCCTTTCACTGTTTTGGGAACTGCTATGCAAATTATTGTTGTGTATATGAATGCCGTGCAAATGAGCGGCAGGAGCCCAGTATTCCACTGTGTGTTTCCTCTTTTGATAAAATCCAAGGTCAGAATCTCGAACCTCATCATTTATTTCATGAATAACTCTGTTAATTTTCTACTGTTTTAATAAAATTTTCACAAAATAAAGATAAAAATCATGAGGAGCAGCATACCCTTCTCCCTCAAGACAAAAGTGGCTCTATCATTAAATCGAATTTAAATTCCACAAAAATTTATCATAAGGTAGGTGAATCTCAGAGATTAAAATGTTTCAATAATATAATTTGTGTTTATAATTAATTGTGTGTGTGTTATACTATGACAAACATGTAGACCAGAGGACAACCTTGAGGTTTTGGGTCTTTCCTTCCACCAAGTGGTCCCAGGCATCAAACTCAGTCAAACTTGGCAGCAAGTGCCTTTATCCTCTGAGTCATCTTGCTGATCCTTCATTTTAATTTTACAGAACCATAACTTTGATAGACCTAATATACTGTCTGTACATGTGACGACTAATCCTGGTGGTCAATCAATCTGATTACATCCAGAATCAACTAAAATCTACCTTAGTAGTCAATACCTCCGAGGGATTTTCTTAATCAGATTTTATGAGGTAGGAAGACCTACCTTAAATCTGAGCTACACTTTCTAGTGCAGCCCACATAAAATACACAGAAGAAGGAGTCTTTTATTTTTTGCCTGTTTGCCTTCACTCTGACCCTTGTTTACCCTGTTGCTGAAGCAGGTATTAAACCCAACTTCTTCAGGATTCCAGCATAGACTGAAAACCATTAGCTCTCCAGGAATCCTCTGGGTCTCCAGCCCTAGATAGAGACTGCTCAGACATCCAGCCTTGTTGACTAAACATTACTGAGTTCACTGGCTGTCCCATTGTGAAAGCCACCCTTGCACCAACCAGACTGGATCCTGGAGGTCAGTCTAATAACACTCCTTTTTTAATATACATCAGTTCTGTTCATTTAGAGTCCTGACTAACACAAACACATAATGCCTGTTTAAATTAGCCATTAAATTTGCACATTTGGGTGCTCAGTTGAGTGTGTGAAAAGCAAGAAGTCCAATAAGTATTCCCCAAATGGAAATGTGGCCATGGCACTTATCCAGAAAGACTCAGTTTATTTTTCAGATGATTCTCCAGGAAGACTCAAGGATTTCTAATCAAGAATACCTAAATGTCTCTATGTCTGTATCTCAAAGATACTTTCAGCTAGTGACAATATAGCTCATTTATTTTAAAAAAAAAAAAAGCCTTGAACTGAGAACACAGATTTAGACGGGGTGTGTGTGTGGGGGGGGTTGTCCCTTTGAAGAAGTGACCTCTGAACTGAGGCGTGAATTAGTTCGTGTGGTAGTTTGAAAAAAAAAAATTGGCTCCAAAACAAAGTGGCATTGTTAGGAGGTATGGTTTTGTTGGAGTAGGTATGACCTTGTTGAAGAAAGTATGACACTGTGGAGGCAGTGTGAGGTCTTATATGCTCAAGCCACACCAAGTATCTCAGATCACTTCCTGCTGCTTGTGCATCAAGATGCAAGAACTTGCAACCCCTTCTTTAGCACCAAGCTTTAGTCTGCCTGCATGCTGCCTTGCTTTCCACAATGATGAAAATTGACTAAACTTCTGAAGTGTAAGTGAGCCACCACAACTAAATCATTTCCTTTGTAGTTGTTGCCATGGTCACCGTGCTTCTTCACAGCAATAGAAACCCTACTCAGAAAACTGGCCATTTTAGAGGAGGCTTGCTTGACAGAGACCTTCAAATGAGTAAGTCAGGAGATGGGTATCCCTGGAACAGAATGCCAGAGTGAGTGGGTAGGGAAATTCTGGGGTTCATAGGGCCAGACAGTCAGGACCTAGTTCGCCACATAGCAGAGTCTTGTCTTTGCCACAGAAAGCCATGGGAGGCCTTGAAGCATAGAGCAATGTGATTTAATTTAAGTGTCTGAAGTAACCTTTTGGAAGCCGTATGGGCTTTGAAGATGTGCATGGAAGGAAGGCACATCAATTTGGTGCTATGGTAGTGAACCTGGCAATCAATGCCATGGTCAACACTGAAATAAACAAGAGTATAGATTCCGCATGCATTTCAGAGGCAGAGCCAACAGACCTTCCTGCTAGGCTTAACATGGGTGTAGGATGCGGAGGGGAGAAGAGGCAGAGAAAGCCACCATGGCTAAGTAAAAAAGGTGATGTTGTTGGCTGAGATGAGGACAACTGGAGGGACAGTAGCGGGCTTGCAATGAGATGACAGACAAGATGAATGTGATGACCGTGGCCCATACCAGTATCCATCCCCATCAGAAGATTTCAGCTTCAATACAAAGCAAATGGCCATTATGGAGTCACAGAGACTCAAGACTAAACAAAACAAACTTTCCTGAGAGAAATACAACTGTTACCATTCCATTTTGAACAAAC